CCCAACTCGGGAGGCTCCAGAGGATGCATGCGGCGCCCCCGGACCCATCTTTCTTGGCAGCTCCATCGAAGCTCAGCAGGTGTCCGATGTGGTCACTAGAGAGCATTTCCAGGCTGACCGGGGGTGTCTTGATCCGGGAACCCTTGTCCGGAACTAGGGTCTCGGCGACTTCGTCGAGGCGTTCCCGGGGAGTGATGCCAGCTCCCAGGATCGCTGCCAGGCCATCTTCGTCGTTCTCGACTCGCCGGATATCCAGGTCCCAGGGAGACAGATTGACCGCCCACTTGAGGCATCTCCCGTCTACCGTCTTGGACTTGAACAACCATGCCAGCACCGAGTACCGGGTATACACGCGAATTTTCTTCTCGGAGCAACTCGTAATCATGGTGTGACATGTGTTCAAGACTCGGAGCAGCGCTAACACTTCTTTCTCGGCGGGGTGGTACCTGAGCTCGGCGTCTTGGATAACCCGTCCCACGAACCGCACGGGTAGTATGGTGCCGTCGTAGACTTTGCCCCAGAAACTGCACTGATTGCCAAGGGATTGGCGTGCAGTATGATTACGTACTACCTCCCGGTGTCAGGGTGCTGGAGTAGTGGTGTCGACACTAGTCGATCCTTGAGTATTTTTGAACGCGTGCCTAGGTTTCTCCAAATCTCGTCCGGAACGGAGTTGCTCGTCTGAGGTTTCGTAGAGAGTGGCCGCGAGCACGGGTAGGTCCTCGATGAACTTAGCATAGTAGTTAAGGCTCCCGAGGAAGGACTGTACCCCCTTCTGGGTCTTCGGGAAGGGTAAGTTGAGGACCTTCTCTGCCAGTTTCGGGGATGTTCGAATTCCATCCGAGCTAATGCCCGAGGTACTTGCACTCTTGACTCCAAATTCGCTTTTCGGGAGGCTCACTGAGATGTTCCAGTACCACAGTCGGTACAGGAAGGCATTCAGTGTCTTGCACAGGTCATCCCAGGACGGAGCTCAGTAGATGATGTCATCGATGTACGAACTCCGGGATAGCACAGGCCCCATCTGTTCCGGGGCGACCCGGTTCTGATGGAACACGGTGTCGGTGCTAGTCCTGGAGACCACCGCCCCCCCGGGGCTCCGTGCCCTGGGATACATGGGCGACCGGGTCCTCGGGAGAAATCCCCAGGAACCCTAACACCTCGGGGTCGACGAGTCGTTCCTCGTCCGGGGGTAGCTGGACGAAACCCCAGAGACAGTTGTCCAGGAGCTGTTGGTAAATCAACGGGGCGTTCTTGAGTCCGAACGGCATGCGCATCCACTGGAAATGCCCGAGCAGGCAAATGAATGCCGAGATCAGTTGGGCTCGGGCCATCATCGGGACTGCCCAGAATCCACACTCCATGTCCAAGGTCATGAACCACATGGTGGCGGCGAAGTTGCTCATGAGTTCGTCGATTAGGGGTAGGGGGTAGTTCATCAGCTTGATTAGCTGGTTCACCAACCGGTAGACGATGCACAAACGATCGGTACCATTCTTCTTCATCACGAGGACGATGGCTGATGCCCATTCCGAGTTGGAATACTCGATCAAGCCCGTTTCCAGGAGGCGCTTGAGCAACTCGTACACCTTAGACAATTAGTCGGCGTGGATCCGCCGGGATCGCATGGAAATGGGTTTTTCGTCCCCAACGTCCAAGTCGCACACGACTCCCCAGGCGGGGGGAGGAAGCGCATTCCCTTCTCCCAAAAAAATATACGATGCTTCCGGAAGACGGCCCGGAGCCGCTCCTCCTCTTCGGGGTCCGACTCCCCGGGCTCACCAACGATCGCATCTTCGATGTTGGCCTCGGGCCGGAGATCGCTGAGGTCGGGGAGATACACCAGCTGGTTCTTGATCATGTCTAAAAGCACGAAGTCAGAACCTTGGTGGTAATAGACTGCGGGTTCCGCGTCGAGAGGTTCTCCAGCCATCGCCCCCATAACGAACGACCAGGCCAATGCCACTTGGGCGTCCATGGGCTCGGGGGACCCCGGGACGGGTTCCTGAGAGGCCGCAATTGCTGGAGCGGGCTCACCCCTTGGGGAAGCGTGGGCGTCGTGGTCCGAGGGTTCGCTCCTCGAGACTTGGGGCCCATCTGATCCTGGGGTTGTACTCGAGACGGTCATGGCGCGGTCGGCACCGGACGCAGGAGCGGGTGCAGTCGGGGGGGGGGGGGG